TGATGTTTGCAAGTATGAAGTGTAAATTAAAAAAGAAAAAGATTAATTCGTATATTTTCAATTTTAGAAATCATGATGATGAACTTCAATATCATATAGCAAAAAAGAAAATTCCATCTGTTGGTAAAGATGGGAAACGTATTGATAAACCAACTGAAATTAATGGGATCAAATTAGAAAAATTTGTTTTTGATGTATTTCCATTTTCAAAGTAAGAAGTAGATAAAGGGAAAAAAAGAAAAGAACAAATAATATCTAATAGAACATTTGCTGTTTGGGAAGTTTGTCGTGAAGATGAATTTTCACCATTAAAAAATGGTACGGGAAGTAAAGATACAGCGGAAACATGTCGAAAAGATTTAATGCTTCAACATATTCGATATCTTAAACAAGCTGGTGCTATATTACAGTATGTGTTTTCTTTTCTTCCAAAACAAAACTATAGATATTCTACTTTTTATAGAGAGACAAATGAAAATAATTGTGAAATATCTCCACTTGTTTCTTATTCTGGAGAAGTAAATTATTTTCAATTATTAGAAATTATCTTAATATAAATTCTTTTTCTATAGAATCTTGAATTCGTCAAAGGACAATCATTAAAATTTCCTATTATTATGAATACATCTACAAATTCTTCATAAATTAAATATGCAATATTATATCAACAAATTTTTATTCATCAATCGATTGTAATTTTATTTTTTTTTAGAAAAACTTAGAACCTATAATAAGAATTAGATTATGTAAGCAATATAAATATATAGATAATGATAGATAATAACAATTATTTTTCGTCGATGTAAATACTATAATCGTAGTATTAGGAAGTCTTGTTGAAGTAATAATCGTAGTTTTCTGTTTTTTGAAATACTGATATCGTAATGTTGTCTTTAATTTTCGACCATGACTTTTTTTCTTCGTTGTACTTTTGATTGTCGTTGTTTTTGTTGTTCGTTTAATTAACGGTGTATTTGGTGCCAGATTATTTTCTCCATAAACTTGTTTTAATATTTCATATCGATCACATAAACCGCAAAGACGAGGACATTCTAATGGAACATTAACAAGAACACATGCGTCTGAAGAATAATATGGACATAGTGGTAATTTCGAACAATTTACTAAATATATATATATTCAATAGATAAATGTTTGTTAAAAGATAAGAAAGATTTACATCGTTCACATTGTGAACCACTTGCATATGTAGAACATTGACATTGACAAGTATTTAAATCAAGAGTACCATTATATAAACATACTTTACCATGACAGTCTGAAAATGAAGTTTTAATTTTAAATATAAATAAATCGAATAAAATAACCGTGTAATGGATAATCACCAACACCCTGATTATAAGGTGGATAAACGTTACTATTCAATTGTCTAAAATATTTTATATATTATTATTTTCTAATCTTTATTTTTCTATAATAACTTACCCAGTAATATAATTGCAAACATAAAAAGGCCATGGAATCTCATATGGCCTATAAGGTGGACAAATAGTAGCTGCACAACCAACTAATACTGCTGAATGCCAAATCATCTATAGAAAATACTAAATATTACAGATTTTTGGATAGTTATATTAACCTGAGTATAATGAGCAACAATACCAGTTGATGGATAACCATGTAAATAATATTCTTTCTCGTCAACCCAACCTCCAATTGCCTGAGTCCAATTTTCGTAACCCATAGCTAAATTTTGTCCTGTTGACAATGGAATTTCTAAATATATATTTGATAGTTCAATAAGAAAAACTATATATATGTTATCGATGGTATACTTGGTACACTCCGTTGATTGGCTTTATCATGGTCGAATTTACATCCACGAGCATAACGAAGAGCAATTTCAGCTAAATCCTGATTCCAGTACTATTAAACTATTTAATATCAAAACAAATACATAATGAGAAGAACGAATTTTTATACCATCTTTTCCATATTAGTTCCATGAACAAGTTGTCGTTCATAATTATGAATTTTCAAAATATTTATACGTTCAGATGGAGTAACGCGTTGGTCAATTACGTTTGGAAATGGTTGTGAACAATACGAATGATTTTCATCTGTAGCACGATATTCATGTGGACATAATTCTAGATTAATACATAAATAGAACTAATCTAATTAAATATATATCTGTTTCTACCGTATAATTGAAAAAAACTAAGCAATAATATTATATGAATAGATCCTAGAAACATTTTCTATAAACTCAAATGAATATCATTCGAAGTCAGTTAATCATTTCATGTTTTCTCTTTTTCCTTCTGTTATCAATATCACGTACAAATACTCAATTTAAATGGATATGTTTATATGGTGTAATATTTTTTTTATGACGATGAATAACCATAATCATTGTTTTAATGATTCACAGAACAGCACTTATGTGGAATTTGTTTACAAATAAGTACGAAATATCTATCTGATTCGTTGCTTCTAAAGAATTCCATATGTATAATTTTAATATGCATATATTTATCTATTTACCTTATCCACCCATATTTTTTTTTGTTTATAATAACAAAAAAAAAAGAAGAAATCCAACATCATTGCAAAGAGCAAAGGAAAGATAATATAAGAAATGAACACAATGAGAAAAAAAATGTAGTTGATATTCAGCTAAAAAAAACAAGAAGAGAGACAGAAATGCGAGAAGATACGAGAGCAAAAAAAAAACAGAAAACCAAGCGCCGCTCTGAGCACACACGTAAGAGATCTAAACATGAGTGAACGATGATAAATATGAGAGAATAAAATCGTGACTAGGAGATAAAGAAAAAAATAGAACATAGATGAATGAAATAATGATGATAGCAATAATAATAATAACAATGTCTTTGGTTTGTTAGGTATTCTTAGCTGGTGATGTTCCATTTGATGTCTTTTTTTGTCGTATAACAGGTAATGGAAGTTTACTCGGTCGTCGTTGTTGTGCTGACGATGTCGATGCAATCGATTGTTCAGAAAGAACACTTTCACGACTTGATGTTCGGCTCAATGTAGATGCTCCGGGAGTAGTTGAAGGAACAAGTATTGGTATATGTGATGGTCTTGCTTCTGAATCACCTATTTTATATATAAAAAGTAATGAATTGTATTTTTTTTTGCTTTAAAAAGAAAAAAATTCTCTTACTAAGAACATGTGGTGATGTTGAAAGATCATCACCTGATGCTGATAAATCACCAAATGATGAATTTGGTTGTTGTTGTTGTTGTAGAAAAGAATTAATCGATGATGTTCTTCGAGATTTATCTTTGGATCCCTTTAAAAATTAAATATAGTTAAATAGATTAATAAAATAATCTTGAAAGAAATTTTACTCGATTTGGTGTTACACCTGGCGATTGTTTCGATGTAGCACTAGCTGCTGCTAATTGTTGTTGATGATAAAGACATGTTGGTCGATGAACAGTAACAAGTCTCGGTTTAAATAATGTCATTGTTTGAGCAACACCATCACGTAAAGCATAACTTTCTGGATGTAATTCATAATTAGTACGACCTTTAGCTAAAAGAAAAAAAAACGTAAATTAATTATATTAATCAAAATAATAAGACGACATATAATACAAATATCAACAAAAACACATCACAACAATTCATGCTAAAATTTACTGTCACCTGTTTGATATTCTGGTACATAATATAAACGTCCTGCAACATGGAATTATACAGATAAGCAAAGCAAAATAAAAGCACGTTGAAGGCTTTTTAGAAGAAACTACATAAAGTAAGAACGAAAGGGGTACCTGCAGCAACAGTCGTCAAAAATCGACTGTAGACATGCATTCCTGTATAGAAAAGGATTTTGAAATCTGTTATTTAGTAATACAGTAAAAATTTCAATCTCGAAAAATTAATTCTTTTGGAAATTCCCTACTGATAATAAATTAATATATCTTACCTCGGCATGGATCATGACGAACAAGAAATTCATCAAGTGCTGTCCAACCACCACCAACTCGAACCATAACTGTCGAACGAAGTATACGAACAAGACGAAGACTTTGTGATTCACCAAACTAAATATATAATTTTATATTTTCATCAATTTAATTCTATTAAACTTACTCTATATCGTCCTTCAGCTATTTGTTGTACATCATATTTTTTTGAACATGTACATAGTGACGCTTGTCGATTAACTTCACTCTTAATTCTATCAATATCTGTTACTTCTGGTCGAATATTCTATTTGAAAAATAAATTATACAAAAAAAATTTTTTTTTGTCTAAAACTTTTCAATTTACTTTTTTTGCATCATGAAATGCTTTTTGTAATTCTTTTGTACGTTCAGTTGTACGTGTAAGAACTTTTTGCCAACGTGTTTGTGCAGCTGTTAAAGAATTTCTTATGTAAATTGAATCATTTTTCGGTGAAACAAATTTTAAATGTGTTGCTAATTTATCTAAATCAATTAAATGTTCTTTATAGGTTTGTAATTGTATTTGAAAATGTTTATGATCATCAATTTGTTTTAATAGAGTTTGAATTAAACCAAAACGACGTTGAACAGGTTTTTGATGATTTAAATACCGTTCAGTTTCAGTTAACCATTCAGTAAATTTTTGTAATGATGAATGAAATAATTCAATTGAATGTGCTAATTCAATTAATTCTTGACCTTTAGTTAATGCTCGTTGTTTCACATCAATTAAACGTTCTAGCAAAGAAAAAATATAGTAAATATATATAATTATTTTTTTGTTCTATTTACTTTTTAAATCAATAATTTGTTGATTATCACTATCATTGGAAAATTCTTTATTGATTTCTTCTTCAATATATTCTAAACGTTCAATAAGTAATGGAAATCTTGTATTTATTGAACTTTCATTAACTTGTTTATCAATTAAATCAAGTTCATGATAAATATGATCAATAGCTTTTTGTTTTAATTTCATTTGTTCTAATTTAGTTTCTAAATAATTATAATTATCTGTTGCTTTTTTCAATAATTCTTCCCATTGATTATTTATTATTGTTATGATATTTTGATCTTCAGT